ACTATAATTGCTCACAATTGTTCCATATATAACCAACTCATGCTATTTTTTTTCTAATAAAATTAAAATAGGACCTTGAGCCAATTTTGTCCTTAGGAGTTGAAATTTCAATTTTAATTCGGTTTAGGAGTTGAGCGGATTCATATTCCTTTTGGTTTTCTTGTAGCGGACGCTCCAAGATTGAGCTAGAGGATATCTCTGAGACCCTTTACACACGTCCTTCTCTTTTATCCGACCTCTCTAACGTCTCCGTTAACGAGCTCAATAAACGGTTTGTTAAAGTTATTCGGTCCGACTCCAAGTGTAGCGACCATCATGAGAGGACTAAGACCAAAAGGAGGAAATCAATAACAAAGTCAAGCATGACAGTGAACTTCACGGTCGTTGAGATGCTTCGGGGAAAGATCAAACCGCAGAATCTGAACCGCGATGTCTCTCGATGGTCTGATTGTGATTGTGGGTTTTGTACATCTTGGGCCTCCACTTCCGACAAAGATCATTCCCTCTTTGTCCAAACTCAAATCCCAAATGGTAAAAGTTCACGTGCATCTTTATTTGATTATAAACTATGATTAATACAATCGATTTTTTTGGTATTTATTTTAATTTGTTTTTACATTTATATGTTTATTGTTTTAGAAAACATATACACGATAAATTATTGCGTTTATTTATAAAAACTTCCTTATATATAGATTATAAATGAAAATAGGCTAAACAAAATGGTTTTTTGTTCTAGACATGGTTTAAATTCTTTCAACCATAACATCGGCTGCTATTGCTCACACGTGTTTTGATATTTATTTATGCTCTAATGTAATTTGTTCTATCCTCCTTTATTGTAATCAAACTATTTGTATGCTCCAAATGACATCCTTTGAGAGGGTGTTAAAAAGGTGAATACAACAGATTTAAAGAGATAAAATGATTCTTTATATTTATGATTTTTTGATACTCTAAAATGTTAATTTAATATTTTAATTATTTTTTGACGTTTTAAAAATAATTGGATTCATTACAGCAGGTGTAATTACGAAAGAGGATGTGTTGTTCATCCATGGTTTCATATCTTCGTCAGCGTTTTGGACGGAAACGGTGTTTCCCAGCCTGTCGGCCTCCTCCTCACCTTACAGGCTCTTTGCGGTGGATCTTCTAGGATTCGGGAAGAGCCCTAAGCCAGCTGATTCACTCTACACGTTACGAGAACACGTAGAGATGATCGAGAAATCAGTCTTACTGAAACATAATGTGAAGTCTTTCCACATCGTGGCTCACTCTTTGGGATGCATTTTGGCGCTTGGCCTCGCGGCTAGACACGGCGGCTTAATCAAGTCGCTCACCCTCCTTGCTCCGGTGAGTTTCTTAGTTTAAGCTTATTTGAACCGTCTTTGTTGATCTTTAAGCATGCGGGACATTAAACTTACATAATAGATTGTAAGTTTTTTCCAATCTTTATATTGGGTCACTCATTATATTTTTAGCTAATCACTTATCGTAAGAAAAGTATGCGACTACATATTTGGCACGGTTGCTTTTTGTTCCCCTTATTTTGCTCTTTTTAAATTTGAAAAGAAAGCTTAATATTTTGTGTTTCTTAAACAAATTTGTTTCTTTGAAGAAATTGACATTTTGTGATATTTTTAGAATGTGACAAGAAATATTTTGAAAAGGTAGAGTTTAAATAATTAGTTTGAAAAAACGTATGGTGCAAAACAATAGATGTGTGATACGACTAATATATACAATACGTGTGCATGTGAACGTGTGGGCAGCCGTACTATCCGGTACCGGCAGGAGAGGCGAAGCCGAGGCAGTATGTGATGAAGAAGGTGGCGCCGAGGAAGGTTTGGCCGCCAATAGCTTTAGGAGCGTCGATGGCTTGTTGGTACGAACACATTAGCCGTACCATTTGTCTCCTCATCTGCAAAAACCACCGTCTTTGGCAATTCCTGGCTAATCTCTTGACCCGTAATAACAGGTTTTTGTTTTTTTTTATCATATTTATTTTTCATTTAATCTATTCTCTTTTGCTAAAAAAAAAAAATCGGAAAAGAACTATAGACTTAAAATCCAATGCGTACAAAGATATATTAAAACGCTAACAATACACGAGGATCACAATGTTGGTGGTTTTGTATCAGTTTGTTTGGAATATTTTGAAGTGATCTAAAAACTAAAAAGTTAGGTTTAGTCTAAACGTAGATTCTTTTTCTGTTTAAAGTTTATCAACTTTATTACAGGTTTAGAGTCATATTCAATTGGTAGGAAACAATTAATTGAGGGTTGATGTAGCTAGTTAGTTGCTGTCATCAGTTACCAAACCACATCCGATGAACTAAATTCTACTTACAAATTTAATTCATAGCCGTATATGGTCGCTGGCTAGGTAGTGTCTACTTACTTTACAATTAACCTAAATACTCACTAAAATAGTTAACATATAAACAATTTTAGATAAAGTACAACTCTGCGTGGTGTAAATAACCAGATATATGGAGCCACGTGTTTTGACATGCCATTAGTATGTCTCCATTAATTGGAGACGAGCTCTAAGAAAAATGGATGATTAGGCAACCTAACTAGACTCTCGTGCTATGCTAAAAATTTAATTTCTAGCCTAAATTCATATGACTATGTTTATTTGGAGCAATCGAAATTGATTATACTTTTGAAATGTCTAGGTTGGTTGATCGGCCTAGTTTAGTGACATGTCGATATAGATTTTACGACTATGTTCTATAGTTTCTGCTTTGCAGCTCTAGTCCTACCAAAACAACCAACCCGTCAACATCAAATTAAATAAGGAAATGGAACCAAAATTCGTCCGATCAATGCTACCAGATATGAATTTTGACTCCAAAAACAAAACTATGAATTTTTCGTTAAAAAATAATTAAAATTAATATAAATGCCAAGTTTAATAGGTAAATTTGCTATGATGAGGTTACATCTGACATGCAAAAAGCGATGACTCTTTATTGTTGTAGCAAGTGGATATGCCGATTAATTAATAAGTAATGAGGTTACAACATCTTGCTATATATCATCTATTGTACTAACAGTTAATTTTCTGTATACAGAACAGTGAACTTTTTAATAGAAGGTTTCATGTGTCACACGCACAATGCAGCATGGCACACTCTACACAACATTATATGTGGGACAGGAAGCAAACTAGATACGTATCTAGACATCGTACGAGATAAGCTGAAGTGTAACGTGACCATCTTCCACGGAGGAGACGACGAACTCATCCCCATCGAATGTAGCTACAACGTTAAGCAGCGGATTCCTCGGGCACGAGTTACTGTTATTGAGAAAAAAGATCATATCACCATGGTCGTTGGGAGACAGGATGAGTTTGCCAGAGAGCTCCAAGAGATTTGGAAGACTTCATCTTGCTGAAAGTGTGTTCTATGAAAACTTGCAATTGATCATCAATTGATCATCTATGTAATTGATTGATAAAAAATATTCTTAAGAGTTTTACCATTATAAATTAAGGAAATCCTTATGTACTTTAGCCATGAGAAAGAAAAAAAAAAAGAAGAGAATGGCGTATCAAATAATAAATGTTCACGTTTTTTTCTGTTTGCTGATTTTTTAATTAAATTCTTTAAAGTTGTATTAATATATATTCATGCAAATAGAAGGTGTGACTTTGTTTATGCCTTCTTTTTCCAGACCATTTCTGACCATTTAACACACACATAGAACATATATATATATGTATATATATAAGATTCTCTGGGAATTAGTCCTTATCATAAAGGCATTGTGTATCATTAAACCCTATGAAGCCGCTGCTCGAAAAACAAGATTATATTACATGAAAAGGTGCTTTTATTTGTAAATAAAGTAACCTTGAATAGCTAAGATGTTTTTTTTTGCGTGTGATTTATAAAGTATACTACTATTATGTAAAATATTTTAGGCGGCTAAAAAAATATGCTGTTTGTTAAAAACATGCCCGAAATTCTGCTATCTAAAAAAAAACATGCGATAAAAATGATTCAATTTATTTACAATTTTACTATTCGTCTTTTGCCAATAAATATTATTTTAAATTTGGTGTCGAAAATGCATGAGATCTTTCTGCGTAGACAATGAACAATATGTGTGAGTAGCTTCTTCTCTTATGTTCATCATAAGATTTTTCTTCTATGTGAGTAGTTTTCTTTTTGTTGAATCATGAGTTAATGATAGATTAGGATAGATTAGTGGTTGGATATTGATGTTTAGGATCAAATCTTGTTAGACTTATAGGTTGCTAATCTCAAGAAAATTATTACGCTTATTCTTTTTTTTTCCTTCTATATAGATTCGTTCACAAGGATATTTTTATATACTCATGTGAATAGTTAGGTGATGATGGACTGCAAGTGGGTCAGATTGGTTGAACAAATTTACCAATATTAATGATTGTTTTGGACCCATCCAACTATATTATATATTCTGTTACTTTACAGCTACATTCATATCCATATCATAAATTAATATGATTCATCAGTCACTCGTTCCATCTGTAAGTCCCTGATCACCATCAACAACGGAGGTTGAGTTTGAGTCCTTCGCTTTTCAACAGAAAAAGGAAAAGATGAATTTCGAGGTCTTTTTCGCTTTTCAGTGTTTTAATTAGGATCCATTTGTTATTTAAATAATTGATTATCGCACAATTTTGAATTAATGATTCAAAAATCTAAGAATTCAGAATATTTAAGACTTCTTTAAAGAGCAATATTAGTGTTTTGACAGGATATTTTCTTTTCAGGACAGGGTATATGTATTCTTCTAATCTGAAGTGAAATACATTTTGCGAATTACTAACATTGCGTCCACCGTCCATTATGTTTGGATTCTTTCCAAATCAATGTGATTCCACTGATCATATCACTCAAAGAATGTATTATTGGAGTGAAACATATCCTATCTCATCATATTATCAAATTTAAAGTACTTTCTTTATAGATTTCAATTATAAGTTATGTCCATTGCATCTCAAACCAAATTTTACCTCATTTTTTGTTATTAGATAAAAATGCATAGAGCCATAAATGCAACATTGCAAGAGTAATAGAAAAACAAAAGCAAAACCAACCCAAATATAAATTAATAATAAATGGTGTTATTTCTTGGGATTCTCCAAGTAAAAGTTGCGCTTCTCTTCCTCGTCCATGAATGAGGTAACGTGAAAAGACTTGCCGATTCCCATAGGAGTCTTGAAGTAAATCTTCTTGCTTTTTGGCTCCTCCATACTCATCTCCACAATTGGTACCCACAAAAACATCTGCTTACTCTTCACTCCTATACACACAATACAAATTCATAAATAAATCCAAAAATCAATATATATAATCATTATTTGATGAAGTAGCAGTACCTGTCATCTTCTTCATACAACACTTGTCGACATAGGCGGTGACCTCAAGAGCGTAGGAGACGCGAGTGTTGGTGGCTTCGAAGAAATGCTCGTAAGGCGTGTCTTGCTTCATCCACACGAACCCCGTGGCTCTAACTCTTCCACACTCCACAAGATTCTTTAAAGGCATCACTCCTTTTGGAAACCCTAGCTCCTCTAGAAGCTCCACTGATTTCTGGTAACACTCCTCCGCTCCGTACACGATCTCAGCCCCTTCTCTCTCCCCTCCGACCACCACGACTTCCTGGCTCGCCATTTAATCACAAGATTATAGAATTCTACAAGAAACAATCTCTTATGTTTTCTCTTTAATATTGTGAAGAGGATTAATGTTGTGGTGAGGCTTTTGGAAGATATAAATAATTTAAACTTAATAAAAAAGATGAAGGGGAGATATCAGAAGAGGGAGTAGGTGGTTGAACGGTGGGTTGTGTGAATCATTTATTTGTTTGCCTAATTTTCTCTCTTGTTACTTTCGTGTGGTTTTTGTTTGGTTACCTAATTGCCCAAAAATACTATTATTTGCTGTTAAAAGGGAATACATCTTTCTTCATAAGAAAAGTCATATACGTCTTATGTTATTGAAGAGATTATACTAAGAGAGCCTTATTGGATCAGGCATTTTCGTTGAATTAAAAATCTTAACAAATTTTTCTGTTATTGATTACTCGTTAATTTTCAAAATATTAAAATATAATTTCCTTATCAATTTAAATAAATAAGCCAATAAATCCCCTCTAAATATATGGCAGGTATGTTCAAATCCATTAAAAGCATAAAATCCTTTGGATTTAAAAATGTTTTAAAATGCATGAACTTATGGTATATAGTATAAGCTCTCCTAAAAAGATAAGCAATCTACTGGTTTGGGGAAGGTTTTCATATTATACTAGATTTTTGGAAATCTGTATACGTACATATTGTTCCGTTTTTTTTTTTTAAGAAAGAAAAAATATACGTACATATTTCATCCCAATTAAACAAGATCCTATTTGAATGGTTGAGATTAGAAAATGAGAAAGAATTGTTATCTAGAAAGGATATTCAAAGTATGTTTTCACTACATCGACTTACTAGTTTCAGATGCCCGGTCATACTAAATGTAAATTTTGCGGTTTTATAAAGATTTTGGGAAAGTAGATAGTTTCGTATTCGCGTCCCATTTACAAAGGAGTCAGTGCGGGCATTTGATTTTGAGTTACAGAATTTTAAAATTAAGCTAAAAGTCCTAAGAACATCCTCTAAGAGTACATAGATAGTATAGTTCTTACTAAAATGACGGGCCAAATCCACTAGATTTACAGTCATTTCGAACACTGTCTCCAGTTTTTAGATAGATGGACGAAGCCCATACTAGTTTCAGATAGCCCATTATAAGACCGGAAATGGAGCAGAACAAGATCTGTTGAAAAACTTATTTTGATTAAACAATTTCCATGTAAGTAGATTTTACTCTAATTCCTACAAACAAACAAAAATGTTCTTGTTCACAAGTCTTCTTATTATTCTAAGAATAGGATGATTAGAACATCATTGACTTCTTCTAACTTTCATAACTGCTCTAACTTCTTCATATAAGTCTTCTTGTCTCTCTTCACTGATCCTCCTATGAAGCTAAAAACTTCATACATATTGGAGGTTTTATTCCAGCGAGTGCAAGTATCGCCGCCGGTAACGTCCAAAGTCCTTCGCCGCAAATTAGCCCTGAGGCAACCGCCGGAACCATAACCTCTGCTTTCTTCCGATTCATCTTCTCCCAAACAAACACAACCAAAGTCCCAACACACATGTCAATCGCAAAATAAGCTCCGACCAGAAACGGAACCGCCATCGCCGTCGGAAGCGGCATGAACCTCCCAACCTTCGCCGGAGTAAGATCCCTAACGACATTGACCAAAACCGCAAACCCGAAAAACCCGTAACACATTTGGAGACAGTGAAGAGGCAGAGCAGAGAAGCCTTGCACCCCAAGAATCGCCATGTTTCTGTAAATCAAAGCGTAAGGAGCCTTGAATTCTCCGTTAGGGTTTCCAACGTCGAATGCTCTGTAGAACAAGAAGAAACTTAACGGCGTCACGATGCATCCGACGATCGTTCCGATCATTTGGCTAACAAACATAGCCTTAGGTGACGTCATCGTGTAATGAGCCGTTTTGAAATCTTGCATCAAAATACAAGAAACCGAAACAACCGATTTGATCAGTCCACATCCGGCGAGTCCGGCCACAACTCCGTTTTCTCTTCCCGTCACAGCCGCGAGAACGAACAGACCGATTTTCCCATAGTTATAAGCCATGTTAATGTCTGTAAGTCCAGCTCCATAGGCGTTACAAAAGGCAAGAGATGGCGCGAAAATGTAAGCTACAATAACGTAATACCATTTGAGCTGAGGAAATATCAGAGGAACCACGACGGTTGAGACCGCAGCGAAGGTAAGATATCCGGAGAGTCCGATCCACATCGGGATTTTGTCTCTGAGGAAATTCTCGTCTTCCTTGAGAAATTTCCGTTGTTTCTTGTCACCCAAGTCATCGAGATCGTTAGGTTTGTTCTTGAGTCTTGTGTTGATACTGGCAATGGTGACAAAGAGGATCTTAACGAAAGTGTAGAGACCATCGCCGAGGATTAGAGCTACGGATAAGAAGACTTTGTAACCGTATATGCTCTTCATGTTGTGTTCGTCGAGACTCTCAGGGAACCAAGAGCCTTTGAGTTTATCAAGAAGAGGCCACATCATGCCATAAGACAGAACAGCTCCTAAAAGCAAAGAAAGGTTAACCAAATGTGAACAGATCATTCCTGCTCCTACAAATGTCATGCTGAAATCAAAGAAAAACCTGCAAAAGGATCCAGAAAAAGTGTTTTAATTTCATGTTTCAAGAACTCGGAAAAAAATCTTTGTTTTTTTTGTAAAATTGATGCTTACGTTTGTTTCCAAGCTTTTAAACCGAAGGTTGGGAATTGAGAAAACCCACAACCTTCTATGCCAGAGAAAAACCACTGGAAAAATCCCCACAAGAAACTAAATGAGAAGTATTTCATGAAACCGCGCACTTGCTTCCTGCACCAAATCGATTCCATTCAAAGATTAGGAAACTTCAGTAGCAATCATCACTTCTTGTAAAATAGGTTAACTAACTTACTTGGCCTGTGCATCTCCTTGCGTGTGGAAGCCATTGATGAGAACCGCGGTAGCTAAACCACTTGGATATGTTAACTTAAGGTCAATAATCATAACCTTTCGGAGAGGGATCAAGACGAAAAGACCGATGAAACAGACAGCAAAGAGATAAGCAGTCATCCAACCAAGGCCTGGTTCTTTCACACTCTTCTCAGAGTTACCTTCCATGTTCGCACCAGATAACTCATATGTCTTGTGGTTTAACCCCAGAAGATATGATGCAAACCCACCTGAAAAAAAAAATAAAAAAAACACACAAAAAAACCCAATCTTTTTAATCAAAGTTCCAAAATTTGGTTTTATATTATATATACCCCAAAAGCAAAAGCAACATCAACACTTTTGTTGTGACTCAACAATCCCAAAAGTTTTCATAAAGTTAATATGTTTATTTTTGAAACATGTTTCGAATTATTTTACAGATATAGTTTTAGAGAATCTTGGCTTGTTTCCCAAGAAAAATAAACTATTAAGGAAAAAATAAATAAGAAGAAAATTATGTTCTTAACCTCCGACGGCAATGCCATAACAAGCAACAGCAGATGTCTGGATCATTGTATTCTCTTGTCTTGTGAATGGCTTTGCGACAAATCCTGATTTCTTGAGAATCTTAGTCCATGTCTGGACGAATACAAAAGCCAGTAAAGCTGCAGAGCTGTTGAGATTTGGAACAATCCCTGTCGTGAGATTTAGCTTCTGAGCTATCACACTAAACACAACTCCGATCACTATGCTCACTAACACTCCTCTCACCGTAACCTGCTTCGTCCACGGTTCGATCGTCCTCCCAGACATCTCTTCTTCTGTTTCTTGTTCTTCTTCTTGTAGTGACAGTTGATTATTGTTGTCTTCTTCTTCTTCTCTCTTCATGATCTTTCTCTGCTCTATTTCCATGGAAAGTACTGATGAAAAAAAAGAATTGAGCTTTGCAAATGAAAATTCTTTTACGGTTGGACTTATCTTTGATACTTATATATACCAGAAAATTTAGGAATATATGAAACTCTATTTTCACTTGTGTGTATAAAAGAATACTCTTTTTTTTGTTTGTTTGAAGAGAATAAAAGGAAAGCTAAAGAACTCATTGTCTCTACCCTCTTAAGTGCGCATGTCCGACACGCGCATTGTCCAACGTAGACGAATCCGTCAAAACACAAACGCAAAAGTGGGAAACGCAAATTGTGTGAATAAAAAAAAGGTAAAAGAGTTGGGAGAGATTTGGTACACAAGTCAAGTGGCCAAGTAGATTGTTGTTGGCATCTTGTTCCAAAGGACATTTAATGACATTTCACTTGGTTTTGTCAGAATCTTTGATATTTATTTACAGCCAAATGAGATTGTGTGGTTCGTGTGGGTGCAATGATTTAATCGACCCTTTTTAATCAGAGGTTTGAAAAAACAAATTCGGCAATCACATCATCATGATTAAATGTCTCGTACAGCATTACGTGTAGAATTTCCACTCTCGCTGAATTTGAAAATTTCAAAGATAACCATTATAGGCATATTTGACTTTTGAGTACAAATTTTCGACCCGGACCTAGGTTTGAGTCATGCAAATAGTCACTGAACACATTAATAAGATGTTGAGGAACGGTAGCTGATTTGGATGAAAAATCGATGGTTTTTTTTGGTAAAAAAAAAATCGATGGTTCTTAACAAAGAAAGACTGGTTACTATTAATAGATATGATATTTAATTCAATTCATTCATAGAAAAAAGGATAATAATATTTAAAATTGTTGCTTACTCGGTTTCTGAATTCAGAGTTTAATTCGATGATAAAAATAATTTAATAACTAGAAGTTAATGTTCATCTATTCGAGACTATGGGTTGTCTGTAGATTTTTTTGTTCTTATCCAAGAAATCTCCATTATCTCTTAAAGTCTGAGACAATAATAGGTGTTCGAACTCATGGTTTTGAAAACTCTCATACGTAGCTTAAAGTTTGCTAGTTTAAAAATAAGTTTATATGGAACTAAAGTTGGCTTTGAAATTAATTTAAAACATCTTCATCAATTAAACGAAAGTTGGCGATTATCTAAATTCTCAAAAAAAAAAATTTTTTACGACATTTGCTATTTCTTTAAGAGAATTATATAATTTTATGATCAAGACATGAATATCCAAAACACAGAATTGTAGAATAATTGAAAAGGAAATGTACATAGATGCTATAATCGTCATGCATAGATCAATATATGTGAATATGGTGAAAGTAGTGAGATTCTAAATGAGTGTGGCTCAATGGACCATAAGACCAATACTCACATATCACGACAAAGACAATGCACTTTCTACTTCGTTTTTCGTTCCCTTTCTACGCAATCCTTCGTCTCAATTATTCTACGAAATCCAATGCACTTTTTTCTTTTCTTTATCCACAGTATTTAGCGATATATGTTTATTTATTCTGCTAAAAAAAATTCGCGTATTTTTCACGAGAAGATAAATCCAGCTTTGAGAGCGTAAAATTTGATTTTGTATTTACTGATGATGTAGTTGATAGATCTATAAAGATGTTTAATGAATTTAGGTGATATAACAATTTACGTTACAATATCTCACCAATTTATATAAATTGCTCATTTGGTCAGTTGAAGATGGTGTTATATTTTAGATTTATTTGAACATTCGATGAATAAACATTATTACTCATTTAGAAAATTAGTTGGGTGGTCAAAACTTGGTGATTACCCTTTCTTATAAAAAATATCTCACCAGTTACTTATAACAACGTAAAAAGTTTAGATTCAAGATCTAATAAATATATGAATAAATATGTTGCGTTTGAAAGTTAACCTAAACTAATTATACTACTATAAACGATACATAAGTCACAAAATAAACTTAGGAATTAAGATCTAATAGTGGGTACAAAGTTGAAACAAGAACACTTTAAACTTTTCAACTACCATGTTGCTGTCTAATCTGAACCATTTTCCCTGTATTACATAGGGATTGTTAGGCCTAGTATAGGGATTAGATTCGCCGAGTTATTATCTAAAATTGAGGGAAAAAACAAAAACATTATAGAGTGGGGATATTGATAGGTGGATGGAGACGAAAGAAGAAAAAACGAGTACTACTCCTCGACACCATTCATTTGAAAGAGAACCTCATTCACTCTTAAAGTCACAACTTATCCTCCTATAGCCCTACATTGACCCCAAACTACGACAACGACTCTTCAGTCCCTTTGCTAAAAGTCTGTTTCCATTTCCCTCTAACTTCTGCGTTTGCGTCCAAACCGCGCGCTTATAAGGACATAATTGATCAACGAGTAATATATATTCTTTACTTTCACTGTCATGCTTTTTGTTTGTTGGAAAGGCTACCATTAGTTATAATTTTAGTAACTAGTTGGAAAAGAGAGAGAGAACTGAACATGTTCTTAAACATGCCCATGTTACCATTTTTGTTTGTTGGAAACGCTACCAGCCTACCATTAGTTATAATTTTAGTAACTAGTTGGAAAAAAAAAGATAGAGAAAACTGAACATGTTCTTACATGCCCATGTTACCCTAATTAAATTTATCACTATTAATCCATATATATATATATATATATATATAATGAGCTTAAAAAATCAGTCAAATGTTGTGAAAAATAAGACGAAACTAGGGCCTATCTACTTGGTTTAGTGTTAAAAACTCAATTTGTGGTGTTCGAAGCAGACGACATGAAAACTAAAACCATAAAAATTAAATCGAATGTTTTGAATCTGTATTGGGGGGTGTGCCGTATGAGATAAACCTGTTCTTGTTTTAGTTTTGGTTAAATGTTAGGTTCAAATATATTCCGCTGTAAGTGAATATTAAAATCTAATTGAAACGAATGTCGTCATAATTAAATTGATTCATGGGCTGAATTTAGCAATAAAAAAAAATGCTGAATTATCATCTATTATAGATTATGAAAACAAGCACATTAATATACATATCAAGATTTAGGATAAAGGACTCTACATGCATGTAATTAAATTTTTGATTAAGACCTTTTACTTTTCATATTGCGCGGGACTACTATACGAATGTCTCCGCTTACACTATAGTCGATTTTTTTGTTGTTGTTGTAAATTTAGTTTTATTGATCTGCATCTTCTATAAATCAAACTCTCTATACTTCCTTTCCTATTGTAAGAAACTAAAAGTATTAATTAATATATATATATATATATATATATTAGTTAAACCAAAATGGACATTTTCTTAAAAAGAAACGTTAAAACATATCGAAGTCGAACATAAAAAATAAGTGGAACCATCTACTTGACATTTACGAACCCAATTTGAAATCGTAAAAGCCTTGCCCATTAAGGACAATCCTATTTAACAAAGTTATATTCAAGTGTTGAATACCGTTTAGCATGGAAGGCGCAAGAGAAGCGTGAGTCGAAAAGCGAACCCAAAACCAGCGGCTGAGGATCCTGTGGACCTCAATCCGGTCTAATCTGTATTAACTTTAAAAATATCTTTTAAGTTTACAAAATATATATATATATATATATAAACTTAAACAAAAGAAAAAGTCAACATACAATGTACTACAAAATTATTTGACAAAATATATTATATCATTATATTTGTCTAAATAAATAAGCTATAGTTTGATCCTATCTTATCATCTATGACCTAAAAATTAACAATCAATTAACCTCATATTATCTAACTAAATACAAAATGGTAAAGAACTAAGAGATCAAAATTTAAACTAGCGATGTAGCACTATTTATAAACAGCGTTGATCTTTTTTTAAAAAAATATATAACTACAAGTCTCGATTGTTTTTAAAACATATTGTTCAAAAGATTACTCAGTTGGATTGCACTTAACAGTTAACACTATACTCAAAGACTCAAATAATCAAATTATTGCTTAAACTTAATTTGTATAATTAAAACAAAAAAAAAAACGAACTGGAAGTGTATATAAAGCAAGAGTTTTGACAAATGCAATCCAACTGAGTAATCGTGTATTGTGTTCAAACAAATGTAATTACGTTTGGTCCAAAAAAGAAAACAAATATAAATACGATTTTAATACTAGTTAGCTGCTGTGAAATACACGTTTATTCACATATATCGAAAATTAATTTAGGATCTAGCTGGGGACTCTCGATTATTAAAAAACAAAGACAAACTTAGGTTTTTTAGTCCGGTTTTGATATGTCCCCGAACCGAACCAAACGACAAAAGAAATGTAGAGGAAGAAGGCAAGTGGAGTAGAATACAAAACCATTCTCTGCAAACAATTGTGCAACTCAAGAGAAAAAACCACGTTCATGCTAAAGCTGTTCGCTATTGATATTTTAGACGATGCAAATTATGCAACCGTGTTTAAAAATACATACGTTTACGTTATGTTGACCATAAAATAAAATATAAAATACTAAAAAAGGTATTTGAGTATTTCGTCGAGACGTCCACGTCAGCAGCCAAACCGCGTGCCAGCCACCCCTAGAATCAAAACGAAACCGAAGTCGCAAGTCGCCACCTTCCTCTATGTTTCCCTCTAAAAAAAGGCCCATCCTTTCACAGGTTTCCATTCAATTCAAAGTTAAAAAAGATTATAAAAGAACAAAAAAAGAAACAGACTTTTCGAAGAACCCAACAGAGAGAAATGTGTAGATCGACGGATTTCGAGCGCTATGTTGAGAAAGAGAGCTTAAAGGTTAAAGCTTTCTTCGTCCGGTTCACGGGTTTACTCACCCGAGACTTCTTACCCGATTCTCTTACTCTTCTCTACCCACCCCGAATCAACGAAGCTGCTTTCGAGCTCGACGGGTCCAAGATCCGACCCGATTCCCCGGCGTTCGTGACGCTCCACAGGGTCGTCAAGGGAGGAGAAGCCATTTACGGGTCTAGAGAATGGGTTCGGGTCTGGGAAGGGATCCGGTTCGAGGTGTACATGCGTGAAGAGAGGGTCGTAAAAGGTATATTCAGAAAAGACGAAGGAGACAAGTGGAAACTCGAGTGCGAGTGTGAGATGGAGGAGGAAGGATCGGCTGAGGTTGTTGTGGCGGCGGAGGGACACGTGGCAACGTCGACGATGGCGAGGAAACATAGACGGAGGAGGAAGCATAAGATGGGGTTTGAGTGTTTGGAGGAGATACCGGAGGAAAGAGAGGAAGGGAGGGAATCGGACGGCGGAGTGTGTTTTTGCACGTGCAGCCGCGGCGAATCCGACGACGGCGAGGGAGAGTGGGAGACGGTGGAATGGACGGCTGAGATGGAGTCTGAGGTGGAGGGAATGGGATGGGCCGTTGATTTGGGGATTTGGGTTATGTGTTTAGGTGTGGGTTATTTGGTGTCTAAAGCCTCTACCAAAGGTGGAAGAAGAAGAAGAAAATCTTTCTTTTAAAATTTTGCTATGAATCAGTGTAATTGTTCAATAGTGTTCTAACATAATAGTACAAATGAAATCACAAATGTAAAAAAAAAACCATGATTTTGGTTACAGAGTCATGAGTTACTTTTTATTTGAACGTAGAACAATGAATTTTCTAGTGTGAATCCCAAGTATAGGCAAGAATCTGATGAATACGGAGCAAGTATGTTGCATTTACAAATCACTACAATACACAAAGGGTCCAAAAGAATGCGTTCTCCTTTCTCTCACTAACAAAAATTAATACACCCAAAAAAGAAAAAAACAAACTGATCAAAACGTGTGATAATATATATTCAAAGTAAATTAGCAAATATGTGGGGTTGAGACCCCAAAAGGAGAGCTTTCTTCTCCTTCCTTTTTTCTTATTTTATTTTTGTATTCGTTTCTGCTGTCTTCAACTGTTAGTTTAACATCAGAAGCAGACCCTAGTTGTTTTGCTGTTGTCGTCGTCATCATTGTTTGTCTGAAACACACACAGAACCCAAATGGAGAAATTGCTATGCTTTTTGTTGCTTCACAGCCTCTCACTTTTTGTTGAACAATCTTATCTGGTTTTCAGTGGTTACCAGAAGAGACTTCACTCCTTCTCCTACAGGTTCTGTGCAGCTCAGTGTTTCCACCGTCGCTTTCCCTCCTGCTTACACTTGTTCGCGACCAGTGAATGCTTTCAGTTTCTGCTGGAGCTGTATACAAAAATTAAACAAAATGAATTGCGTTATGGCTCATCTAGCTGCTATTGCATTTTTGAACAAGTTGAAAATGTGTTTGACTCACTTGGCTGTATTTTGATTTTTCTGTATCAAGTTCCTCAGTTAAGTCTTCAAGCCTGAAAATCTTGGCAGTTAAAACTTGCACCGAGATGCACTTATAAAGACTACTAAATCATTCTCTAGAAAGAAAATGTTTGCTCTAAAAAGAGGACTAACCTAGCCCGGAGCTCAGAGATACTGCTAAGTAGTAATCTCTCCCTCTCAGAAGCCACGGGCTCAACCTGTAATCCGGAAACATTGAAGAGACAAAGTCACATTAGCCGCAAGCAATATCTCTAACTAAACTAGAGCTCTTAATTTGAGAAATCAACTTACGGTTCCATTACTATCTGAGCGAGGCAAAGGTGGTAACTTTCCCGATTGAGAACCTATTATATAAAAGAAAAATTGAATGTACATTTACTGAATAGACTTGGTCATTAATTATAACGTCACAACCGATTGACGTAATAAAATTGTCTCTCTTACCATCTGTCGTCTCCGCGGGTTGTACACTATTCATTAAGTTCATAATAAGATCCTGCAGTGAGATAATAACATTGCCATGGTTAAAAAACCTGATAATTAACAAGATAACTCTCATGTCTTAGTGGATGTTCCTCGACTTATTCTCACCTGTTGTAGTGAGGTTTGCTGGAACAGATGTTGAAGTTGAGGCATGATGAGTGAGGGAGACATAGGTTGGCTACTTACCTCCTTGATGGTCTGAGGCTGAACTGTTGGCTGCAGGGAATACAATATCAAGAATCAGATTAAGAAAAAAGAAACCGTTCCGAGTAAATAAATAAAAAACTACTAATTTGTGATCGAAAACTGACCATTTTAGGCTCAAGTATCCAGTTACCGACACTCGCAGATTTTCTCAGAGTGGACGCCTGAAAATTTGAGTGTGTGGTTTATCAGGTAAATAGCTCACTTGAGAGGAGAAATCATTAGTCTACTCTAATGAAGCAGAGACTAGAAACTAACCTGTGGAGATCGGCGAGGGACTATACTTAATGGAACATCCTAGAGAGTAGATTGTATAGTTAGTTACCGTCAAAGAAATGGGAAAAAAAAATGGCAAGTGAATTATAAACACACCTTTCCAAGATCTAGATTTCCTGACGTTACTGAAAACCGTCCTTTCTGAACCAGATTAGCCTTTGACTTATCATCTAGAGAATCACGGAATCCTATTCAAAAAGGACAAAACACTCTTTAACTCAAAAAAAAAAAAAAAAACCACTGAGCTGCACAAACATTTCCAAAGTTCTCACCTCCTGAGTATTTCATAGGAGCTGAGAAACTGTTTGCAGAAGCACGGGTTGGAAGATTCAAAGGACCACTAAACCCTGATCGGCCTGGCGGTGCCATCTGCTGTTCACTCTCGGATCTAGCGGATAGAAATTACAAGTTGTGTTGGATTGTTTGGAAGTTTCTTATAAATGACAAGCAGATCTGAAAGTGCAGTTTCAAACAGCAACTAGTAAATGTCGAACCTTTCAAGGACATGACTTTTCTCAGAAGACGAGTGGCTTAAGACAGTCCTGCTAGCAAGTGGTCCACTCTGACTTTGTCGTCTTACTGGCTTAACCTTGGCCTCGGGAATGTCAGGCTCTGATTTCGCAGTCGTAATAAAACTAAATTTCTCTTCGTAGGTTGGCTCAGTATTGGAAACCTTTTCCTTTCCGTTCATGTTTTCATATAGTGGAGGACTATCATATACTTGCCCTCTTTCATTCACCTGCAGTGGTTTTTGAAAAGAAGATCAGACCACCAGACTCGGATACAAAAAGTGAAGTTTTCTAGATGCCTTTTTCTGAGTTTTATCCACAGATAACTCGCCTTATGAAACTGTGCACGGAATATTTCTTCATCCTCTTTACTCTCTTCTAGACTATCGTCATCAATTAGCTATTACACAAACAAAGAATATGAGAATAGGGGTTATGTCATGGAGCCAATGAAGAGAATATTAAGGATAGTGCAATCACAGATCACTTGCGAAAATTAACTCACCAAAGATGCTTGTGTTTTCAAGTCTTTGACGTCAAAATTCCAAGCGCTTACTCCTCTTTGGTATTCACTCTGATATTAAAAAATATTGTCACTCTGAATCTTGAGTCGTAAAGTTTTTTAGGTAATAATGTCAAACTAAGGCGCAGGCGTATGTCACCTGTGATATAGCTTCCTCGTCAGAAGTGGCCATTCTCTTCATGGCAAGCTGTGCAGCATCCTTGGCCTGTCATACAACAACGCAATAAATAAAGGAAAGAACATGGTAATTTCAACAAAGAAGCTGAAACACACAAAAAAAAAATGGCTAACCTGAAGAGATTTTACACGAGTCCAAAGAGGTGGTAAATCGGCAAACAACCTTTTCACAGAAAGCTCAGGAGGCTTCGTGTTTTTGAAACAAGAGTGTCTCAGCAGTTTTTCTGCAGTTGGCCTTTTTGTTTGATCTTTCACCAAACACATTGCAACCATTTCTTTAAAGGACTGGGCACAACTGAAAGTCCTCTAGTTAGTTTAGTAAAAAAGAATATAAATTGTATATGAAAAAACAGACACGTCAGGAACTCCAACAACATAAGAGAATACACCTAGAAAGAACACGAGTACCTTAGAAAATTTCTTATCACGATCATAATCAAGGCTGGGAGGTGCATTTTGAATAGTCATTAGGAGCACCTGTAACCAGAAAAGAAAGAAAAGAATCAGATCTGTTTTAATAGATGCAAACACAGACACAAGCCCAAAAAAAAAGAGATTTTGAACACCTTCATGGGGGGATATTTTGAGAAAGGTGCATGACCATGGGCCAATTCAAGCGCTGTTATACCAAATGACCAGATATCAGCCCTGTTAAAAAATGACAGAAGAACAACCAATCAATAAGCTATTTTTGCGTTTCTTTGTTCCACACAGTATATACACAGTACTGATATTCTTCACCAAGCATATATGATTACATTCCAAAGTGAGCTACTTTCTATATCAGACAAAGAAACATGCAGAAAAGGATAGTTTTTTTATGCTTAACATGTAAATAAACTCACTTGGAATTGTATCCATTTCCCGGCTGCAAGACTTCCGGTGCCATCCTACAAACAGAAACAAGAGTTTGAATATAAACCATTGAATACAGAGTGATGGTAAAGTACAAAGAGATAGAACTACAATAACCGACCAGCAAGGAGTACCAACAAATGTGTTTCTTGCACGTTGCCTATCACCGTTGTCAAACAAGCAAGCAGAGACACCAAAATCGCCAAGCTTAATCTCCCCATTGTCATCAAGAAGTATGTTTCCAGCCTAGTAGGATGAAAAAAAAAAACAAAAAACTTGAATACATTATACGGATGGCTGAAAAATATAATGTCCAGTGAGCTAATAAAGTTTTCATTTTTACCAACCTTAACATCCCGGTGGATATGCCCTTGTTTATGAAGATAATCAAGAGCTTTAAGAGTTTCTTTCAGTACACAACATATAGCCGACTCTTCAAATCCGTCTGAATACGCAGTCTTCATAAGATGCAAACACGAGCCTTGTGCCATGAATGGCATGACGACCCAAAGACTATGGTCCACAGAAAATGAACAAAACGACTTGATAACGTTGGGATGGTCTATTAAACTCATAGTCTGAGATTCCCTCCTAATATCATCCTAAGAAAAAAACAAATACAAATACATTAATCCATGAAAGAGAGATCTTCTAAAACAGAGAAAACAAATTGAAAACCATCAGGGACAACAAACAAGAAGTCTTAAATCTCGACAAAACAGAACAATTTGTCTTAGTCCCCTCCAAGACCACACTACTTCTTCATGATCTCGAATGTTTTACTCTAGAAATCACAAATCTAGACATAAACGCAAGAGTATCGTGGACAAACCAAACTTCCACCGATGTCAAATGAAAAAGGTAGAGTCTTTCGAGATTGACCCATAATTTTCAAAAACCAAGAAAGGATCGAGGAAAAAAACGAACCAGATTGCTATTGCATCGATCGAGATCCAAACACTTGATGGCGACGACTTCATTAGTCGGGAGATAGATCGCTCGATAGACGACGGCGCTAGCTCCATGGCCGACTTCTTCCATAAGTTTGTAGTCCTTTGGATTTAAGGAGAAACCTCTCTGCTTACCAGTACCACTACCACCACCACCACGAACAATAGCTCCACTACCTCCCGCCATCTTCTTCCGTCGCACAGAACCGAAAACCGCCCTGAATACCACCAAATCAAAACCGGCACGGGAAGAAAAAGAAAGAACTGAATCAAAAGAATTACTGAAAATGAAGGAAAAAATCTGGAGCGGGAGAGAGACTAAGTTGTTTACTCGAGAACAAGTCGAAACCCCATTGAAATTGGATACTAATTGTTTTTATTTTGATAAAACAAAGAAAAAAAAAACAAGAGAATTCAGCTCTCTTTTTAATTTTAATTTTGGTTTTTCACTTTCGCTGCTATATTTCTGATCAGTTGACCGCCACGACAAGCGCGATTGAGAGACAAAGAGAGAGAGAAGAGCTGTTGTGCTGACGTGGTAAGGGAGTAAACATCTGAGATTATTACACGTGGATGCAGTATAAAATGAATGGCTGGGAATGAGCTTGGTCCCATCTACCTCTTTGGCTAAGTTCACGAGTGACTAATGAATGACTTTTGCTGGTTTCGTTGGAAAAGGATAAATATTCCTGATGAACTTTTAAGACAAAAAGTTAAAAAAATTTATAACTGAAATTCACTTTTTGTCCAGACAAATTATAATGAACAACATAAATTATGCATTCTACATAAAATTTCTTTATGATCGAGTTGTAAGATATGCTTTATATCGTAGAAAACTGTTTTCGATAGGCCTGAACACGGGACTAGTACTTGCTATTTTTGGTATACTTGATACTTTTGCCCCGTTCAAGTATCAAGATATTTGTACTTGTACTTGATTTATTAATATCAAGTACTTGAAATTCAAGTACTTGCCAAATTCAAGTTACTTGACTTGTTCTGTTATTTGTAAAAGTACAAATAGAATAATAAAAAACTAAAATTTTGGGCTATATTTAATTAAAACCTATGATAATATTTAATATTTTGACCTTTAAGTTTTTGGAAAGCTTTAAATATTGAAGTCTGACAACTTATTTATCTTTTGATAAGTAGATTTTTCTTTCTTTTTTTATGTTGTAATCGATGTAGAACAAAATTTAAAAAAAATCAGAGATTTGAAACGAGTAACAGGTCAATAAGACCAAGTAGTAACTTTTTTTTTAATATTTGATACTTGCCTTATACTTGCAAGTAATTTTCTTAAGATACTTGATACTCGACTTGATCAAAACAAGTACTTGATTTTACGAGACAAGTACAGGTCAAGTAACGAGTACGGGATAAGTACCAAGTAATTATGCCCAGTCCTAGTTTTCGACTATTAGTGTCTATTGACTTTTACCCAAAAAAAAAAGAAAGATTTACATTTGAATTAATTAATATTCAACAAATACATAAAAGTCTCCATAGAAAACATAAAATAATTTGTTCTTTTTCTATATGTTTTTTAATTGCTTCTTCTATATCTTATCAGAGCTAGGAAATGGTCTCAAGAGCTTCATTTTGAAGCAAAAGTCCAAACCTATAGACGCAAACGCAAATATCAAGACGCTCTGAGACACCAAAACGGCGCCATCTATACCATGAGAGGCCAAGCTTTCCCAGCTCAGCTCCAATGGCGGTCCTCTGCTCAACATACCAAGTCCTAAAACACCCAAAAAAAAAAAAAAAACAGACTCATAATTTTGTTAAGAATAGACAAGATCCAAAATAATACAGGTCAGAGATTTAAATAATCAACTCAATCAATTATTACTTAAAATGATCAAATCGTTGATTAGTATTCTACTACTGGCAACTTATAATTTTAAACAGCCAAAGTCCAGACAACGATGGGATTATCCAGCTCACACCTTCCACACAATATAACAAAACAAAGAAAGTCTTTTACTTTTACTCATTCCCTTAATCGCAAACGCAAACGCTTTGACCAATTCAAAGAAGTTAAATAAAAGCCGCAGTAATCAAATGTGTTACCTTTGACAAAACCAAAGGCTGCAACGGCTCCGGATTTGAGATGACTATCATCCAAGTCTCTTCTCACTGCATACCTGAATGTGACTCCAAACAATGCACAGCTTGCAAACGCTACTCCAAGGGGAAGAACAAGCTGCTCGATGCTCGAGACCTGAGAAAGAGCAAAAGGGAGTTCTGCGACGGTGCCAACCGCGGCTGCAACCACAGCCGCTTTCGCTGATTCTACTCTCTCCTTGTCTTTATCAATCGTATAGCCGTTTTCTGAAGTTCCGATTGCCTCGTTCTCTGCTAAGGACAAGGAGCGTTCTGCTTCCTCGACCATTGATCTTGCTGCGACAATCTCTTGCTGGCATTCTGCGATCTTGAAATCAGATGTTGAATAAGATGAACATGTTCTATCTCTCTTGTTATCGAGGAACAAACACAGTTTCATTATAAGGAACTCGAGAACCTGAACTTGCATTGTGTACAAACACAAACTAAAGACTTTGTTCCATAACAGGAGAAAACGAAACAAAACAAAACAATACAAAATTTCAAATTGCTACGGAAGACATAATTTTAGTAACCATATCTAATGAACTATCTTCACACAAACTAAGAGAAAGCCCATTTCAAGGTTTCAGGCACAAAAGTAACACCATAGATAGTCATTGAAACTCTGAAACAACATGAATCTATTCTTAACCTACAATGCACACAATTCACTATTCCATTGAAATATAGCACCAATATCTCCTGTAACATATACATGAAGTTGAATAAATATTTACCAGTCATTCTCAAAGAAACCAACACTAATAACAAGAATCAAATGTTCCATCATTTTCTATCTACAAGATTTCCAGAAAAATATCTCACCTCTGAGGCTCTTGATTCGAGCTTATTAACATAATCCTGAAGCAATTTCGCCTCGATTTCTTGTCTCTCTATCTCTGCGAGCTCTCTCTTCGCTATATCCACTCTCATCGAAGCTTTTTCCAGACCATCAAGCAAACTTCTGTTCTCTTCTCTGCTCAATAGCTCCTCCACTTGATTTCCGACAATACCGGACAAAGACTTTTTCAAATCTCCGCCGTCGCTCGAATTCGCTGCATTCTCTTCCGGTGAACTTCTAATCTTCCAATTTCGAGTTCTGCGATACGGAGAGCTCAGGGAGGACAATTGAAAGTTCAGTAGTTTGGGGTTCAAAACGTAACCCTTCTCCGATACAATCACTACTGGATTTGATTTCCATTGAAGCGATTGTGGAGATAAATATTGCATTTTGAAAAAGAAAAAAATGGAAAAAATCTTCGAGCTCTCTCCTATCTGGTTTTATCCGATGTGAAAAATGAAAAGTGGCCACTAAAACGGCACGTAAAAAGGGCATGCTTTTTAAGATAAACAACGACAATACTTTAGGTCCTCAAGTATCCGAACGACATGCATTCTAACTTCTTCTTTTTTTTTTCACAAACCAGTGCATTTTAACTTCTTAAACCAGTGCATTCGACTTCTGTAATGGTTACCAGTTGTTACAATCTTAAATTAGTCTTAAATTAGTGACCATGAAGGGCGCGAAAACATTTTATAATGACTCTAGTTCCAAGTTTCTTATTTTTAAAACCAACTAGATAACTAATTAACTACATACACAACATCCTTGAACGAAAAATAGATAAACAGCCCAAACCAACTCTAAATTACTTTAATCTCAAGTTAATTATGATTTCACTTGTTAAGAGTCTTTAAGACCTAAAGCAGCTTAAAAGTCTTGATGTCATCAACCACGACCTTCTTGAACAGAGACACATCAGCTGATCCCAGCACAAGGTGATACCCACATGCCTTGAGATTCACCGCCTTGTCATAATCCGTCGCCATTCCGGCCAAGTAAGCTCCGACATTCACCAGATCAGAATCCAAAACCGCCATCTCCTCCGTCCTCATGGCGGACTTCACCTTCTTGTTCCCAGGGTCATGAAGAAGCCCCAAACTCGCGCTCAGATCCCTAGGCCCTATCATCACACAATCCATCTCATCAACGGCTACGATCTTATTTACGTTCTTCACACCTTCCTCCGATTCTAAATGCACACTTAATAATCAAAATAAACCATTCATGACAAATTGAAGAGATTCGAATAAACATTTTTTATTCTGGTAGGAATCTTTAGATTTTACATCTAAACATTTTCGCCCAATTCCGCTCAAGTTTATAAAGAATTTGACATGTCACGTGACTTTCACGTTTTCATCTTCCTCCTCTAATAAAGACTAATAAAGACTCTAAGCAGAGCTAGTTCTAAAATTTAAAAGACTATAAAAAAAAAGAGAAAAATGATAGTGAAAAAACTGGTCATGAGATTTTGCTCTCAAATTTTTGATAAAATAATAAATATGTGAAAGAATTAATCCTTTTAGATTTTATAAAGGGTGATTTGCATCAATATTACTTATGAGAGAACAAATTAATTGAATATTATAGAAAAGCGGTCAATTAAGTGCATAGCACAAATCAACAGAAAAAAGTATGTTGAAATGACATTGCACTCCTTGCTCCCTAAATTTAGACATCGCTTTTTCTGACTGAGGTTGGGACCACACCAACTTACTAAGACACAGACGTTACTTGCTTTTTAAAACAATAACAACGTAAACTTTATTGTTACTTTAGTAAGTTTTTAACGTTGTTGTCGTTTAGTATTACGTGTACAAATAGGTTAATTTGAGAGAACTCTAGTGGATCAGATAAATAGCCACTAACACAACACCCATAAACCAAATATTCAAGTTTCTGATTTTTAGCGTTATGGTTCGTATTTTCTCAAAAAATTATACATGGTGTCTTTTTACTCAAATCATTAAAATATGAGATACAACTATGGAATAATTAACTATTTTCATAAAAATATTTGCTCCGAGTATGCGGTTATGTAGTAGACGACTATTTAATAAAGAAGTTGCATCCGCCTCAGATGAAATAGACATTATGTACGATATTTTCTATGGTTGCACCAAGTTAAAAGTAAATAGACATATTCCAAGTAGTCACCTATCACTTCAACATAGACATTCTTTTCAATTCTATTTATTTTCTTTGTTGTGTTCATATATTTATAGTAGATGACTACTAATATGTGACTATGTTTAAAATGTAAGTGGTTGTTGTCGGCCACGATGAGTATGAAGTTTACAACATAAAATGGGAGATGTGTACATAACAAGTTATCGGTAACTTCTTCTTACAACATGAAAGACCATTCCACCTAGTACCAACTCATGTATGTTATGGTGTCTCAGAACTACTTCCTTCATTAATACGCTGACCAGATGGTCGACCAAAGCAAAAGAAAGATCTCATCTTAAGGGGAAATGAAGGTAACGTACTCAACTATTTAGTATTTGTAACATAGTCAGCTTTTTTATTATTAGTCATAGTTGACTATTTTGTGGTAGAAATGTGGTTGATCTAATTCGTTTGCTGACACAGAAGAAATTTGAGGAATGCGGCAAAACTTTGCAGCAGGTGTCTTGGGAGATGTCACAATGGTAAGTCTATAGCCATAGTTGACTATTTTCATAGAAAATCATTAGCGAAGAGTATGTGGATATGTAGTAGATAACTATTTTCATAAAAAATCTGCATCCCCATCAGACAAACATTCTCTCACTCCGAAAGTGTGAAACATTATGGACGATACTTTCTATAGTTGCACCAAGTTGAAAGTAAGTAGACATATACCAATTAGTCATCTATCACTTCAGTATAGACGTCCCTTTTAATTCTAATTCTTTTGTTTGTTGTGTTCAGACAATTAAAAATTTGTTAAGCCAATATAATATGTCCAATGCTATATGATGTTATAAATTCAAGATAATTTTAGGTTTCTGAAAGATAATGTTGACTTAAAAATGTATCAAAACTATTTCTAATGGTTTGAAATCCAAATATTTTCCATATTTTTTACAAATCATGAAAATTTTGAATTGTTTTCAGACATGATTTTGTACTAGAATTTTATTCCCTTTTTTGGAGATTTTAACATTTTATATCATGATAATTTTTTAAAAAACTTTTCATTGTAAAAAATATATCTATCAACGATTGAGTTCTATCGATAAAATGGATCATATTTGTTATAATCGTTGTTTAACTTCTTTTCAATATCAGTTGTATAGTTATCTTTTATATAAATGTATATGTTGAGTTATACATTGTTACATTAATTGTAAACTATGAACTCAAATAGAAATATGTGTTAATTGCTTTGTACGACTTCGTTCGTCTTTGTATTTTTATATTTTTGAAAGTCATATTTATTTATTTTTTATTATATTAGTTATTTTTTCAAAAAATTGGATAATTATATCTAAATATCATCACCTTTTGTTATATGTATGTTACTCGAAACCTAGTAATTAATAATAAAAATTATATTATAACATTAACACATTTAACGATCTACTAAGTTATATCAATAATGTATTGTATTCACGCTCAATACATTCAGCCTTTTTAGATAATAATATTAGGAAAATAATTGCATTCGAAAACATTTTTACCTTTAAACTTACTAACAACCTGTTGAATAAAGAGACGTTGCTTTTAAAAAAAAAAAAAATAAAGAGACCTTGCACTTAGTTTTTGTATGGGTCTACTACTTTTACGTCGGAGAGAATAGACCGTACGTGCCATAACAAAAAGTGAATCTTTCGCTTTTGTTGAGAATGCTCGGAAACTTACAAAGTGCCATAAGATTTCTATTTTATAGATTTGATTACACAATCATAATGCGACAACTGGCATTACTATCATACCTTAAAGCCGTTGTTGTGAAGAAGATGAATTGCTAGGTTTATGGAAGTCTTTATGACAGAAGGTGAACGTGACATTTGGGCTTTTCTTCAGTTGTGAGCTTCTGAATTTCTTGAAGGGGACGGGGCCAGTACTCTGCTTTGTTCTTCGTTGTTATGCTCTGCTTTCTGAGACAGAGGCAGCTTCTCTTTGTTTCCACTTACTCTCGAGGACCACTTCATATTTGCATCTCTGATTTTTAATCAAGTTAGAACTTGTTATGTTTGTCATCGGTGCATTTTCTCCCCCAAGTCAAGTTAAAAAGGCCTACACTATACTGTAATTGTAAATAATATCTTCTTAATTCTTATAATAATAAAACCAGACATTTTCAAGCCTGACAGATAAACCTAGACAAAAATGTTAAACCAAATAGATAAATCGTGACTAAATCCGGTATAACTTGTCAATTAAGAAAGCTTAATCAAGCCCCAGTCTTTGGAGGCGTCTTGCTACCGTCCATCACTGCTTTTGTAAAGATCGAAATGTCTAACCCCCGAGGACTATATCATAGAATTGGTTACTTGCGTTACAAATTAACCTCTAGTGTCCTGATAAATCAAACCAATCTTCATTAATCATTATCTAGTGATTTCCCAGTCATAATTAATAAACCAATCATAAATAAAACCAGAGGATAATGTCATACCAGCACAACTACAGTCCTACAGATTACATGAAAACTGAAAACAACAACGCTCATAACAGAATAACATAGAAGTAAAAGATCATATCTTAGGTTCACACATAATAATGTAGAGTCTTAGCATCCAAATTATTGCTTGATCAATCAATGAGATCGAAGGCCTTGATGTCATCGATCACTGCTTTGCAAAAGAGTGAAATGTCAGAACCGGAGAGCACCATATGGTACCCTCTGTTCTTGAGATCAATAGCTTTGTCTTGAGCCGTGGCCATTCCAGCAAGAAATGCTCCACCGTTTGCGGGATCCGAGTCAAGCACCGCCTTTTCCAACTGTGTTAGGACATCTTTGACCTTCCAGTTCCCTTGGTCATGGAGGAGCCCGATGCTAGCGCTCAGGTCCCTCGGTCCTGTGGTGATGCAGTCCATTCCATCAACCGCCATGATCTCGTTTATGTTCCTTAGCCCTTTCACGGTCTCCACCTATATTTAACGTAAGCAATATATAGCATTAGTCGTTTCATAACGTACCCTAAACCAAACTAAGAACAGCAATACCCTTGATCAAACTAATTATTACCTGGCACATTATGAGCCTGTTATCACGGTAATCTTCCAAATATCTCTTGTTGAATCCAAACTTGGAGTCTCTGACAAGAGTGTAGGCACATCCCCGAACGCCATGAGGCGGGTAAGAGCAGAAAGAGACAGCTTCAGCCGCTGCTTTTCCCGTTTCAACTTTGGGAAACATAATTCCATCTGGTCCCAGATCCAAAGCTTTCTTAGCGCACGCAGCAGAGATCTCCGGCAATCTAATAACCGTTTTGCCTCCGCAAACTTCCGTCGCCCCAATGCATGCTAGAGCAGCAGAAAAGTCAGCCGGCCCATGCTCAAGATCGACGACCACGAAGTCGTATCCCGCCAATGAAGCAATCTCCGCCAGAGTGGGTGAGGCCGAGAAGAGGAGCATCCCTTTGAGCTTCTCTCCATTCTTCAGACGAGTCTTCAAAGGTTCGGTTGAAGCCCGAACTGGTTTGTCGGATGCGCGGCAAAGAGTAACAACGGGAGGACACGTTGGAAGTGAGTTTGATCCCACCGAAAAGGGAGGGCAGGTTGGAAGCGCGTTTGAATCCACCGAAGTGTGAGGAAGGAGAACCAGACATTCTTTCGTTTTTGCACAAAGTTTTTGGGTTTAAAGACATTCTTCTTCGTAGTTCTCGACTGCTACATACTCTCCTTGTGAGAGTTTAAAGATATTCTTCTTCCTGTCAATTATCTTCATGCTTCCATTTGGTTGCCACTCACCAACATCACCTGATGAGATGGCGAGAAGAAGCAGAGTGTTAGAAGAATTCACGGAATCACAAAAGCCGATATTCTAACTAGTTCCAAAATAACTCTACCATAATATGTTTTCTTCTTCCTTAATTGAATACAGGTTCAGAGAAAGACATACCTGTGTGAAGCCATCCATCAATGAGAACCTCTTTTGTGAGGTCTTCACGTTTGTAGTATCCAGAGAAAAGGGTCTTTCCCCGAATGCAGATTTCACCACGTGGAGTACTCGCAAGAGCATCATATTCCATCTCGGGGACAGACTCAAGGCGTATATCAACGTTTGGCACTGGTGGACCAACTGTACCGAGCATGTCCAGTCGGTCTGGCAGCGAGACAAATGTTCCAGCACAGCTTTCGGTTAGACCTACAAAGGACCAATCATACAACAAGACAACAGTTAACTATTCACATTCTCTGTTAGTGCGAGATCAATATACTCTATTAACACTCTAGTACATACTTTGATATCCAAGCCTGCCTAAATCACCTTTATACACTGAATTAATAAGTTTACTCGACCTGAACAAGTTGCATTAACCCAAATAGAAACCCAACTCTAAAAACTAACTATCAAAATCAAGACCAAAACGTTTGTAACCAACCACTATTTGTTAGTTCATACTATACCACGACATTCGTACGAACCCAACCATTAAATTCATACAAGTTCGCAAAGAGCCATGGGGGGACTCAATTAAAAAATAGACCGCACTGAACAAATTAAAGAATTAAGTGATTGATGTGAGATAGTGACTTTAACGAATCTGGCTAGTTTAATCATTTCATTTGGATCTAAAGAGCTAAATGTTGTGAATGGGTACCGTATCCTTGAAGAACATGACAGCAAGCCACCACTCTTAGAAATGACTCTACGTGACTAGCGAGAGGAGCAGCTCCAGATAGAATAATCCTCACATTGCCCCCGAGCTCTTGTTTAACCTGAGTGAGATAACGATGGAATTAATTGCTATGAAGTTTAATCGCGAAGAGTGATAGACTCTTTAGATATTCTGTAAAAAATTAGTTCAATCAAGTAATTTACTACCTTGCTGAACACAAGTTTGTCAGATAATGGAGAGGCCTCCACATGAGACTGTCCCTTCTTCATATATCCAAATTTACTGAGGATGTTTGAGTGTGTTAGATCTAATAGCTTAAATATTAGTTAATCAGATAAGCAAAGTGCACTCTGACTTACTGGGAAAATGCAGAGTCAAACAAGAACTTTTTGAAGAACCCACCAGCAGCAAGCTTCTGCTGAAGACCTGTTATATATATATAAGGTCAACGTCATTAAAAACAGGAAGATTTTCAGAGAGAAAATGCCATGTATAAAATCGAATTGATCGTTAGAAGAAAAATTAGAGTATACAACAATCAGATGAAAGCTTTTCATAAATATTCTCACAGAATTGCTGATAATATTTACATACGGTATATCTCATCATCAGCTACTAATAGTTTCATGCAGGTGTGTAACGTGTACAAAGGTAAAACCTCAGATGCAGTTATTTGGAATAGATAGATGATACAAGAGCACAATTCACTAAAATGGGGAATTGAAGATTCATGGGCATATAATTTTTCAAACGTCTTCCCTGAGTATACTCTATCTAGGACACGAGGTACAGCGCAAAAAATAGTTGGTTTAAGCTCACCAAGGTCTTCTATCAACAATTTGACGTCCTGAGGAGACAAGCCAGAGAAGTTAAAGTAACAATTAAGAAATCCAAAAACAGGTTTAAATAAGAAGCTTTAAGCTGTACTGACCCCACGCCAGAAACCAATCGCAGCACCGTGTTGAATAAAACACTCCTCGATAACTCGGTCAAAGATGTGCGCAAGAGGAAGATAAGAAAGATACACATCTTTTACAGACAACTGTAGATTTGCACAGCCAAAAACAAAAAAACAAAATCGATTAAGACCAGAGCCAGGAACAGGAGAAGCTTAAGGATTGCATGAAAGCAAGAAGGAATCTCACGGCTTCGTTAGTGCTTTTCAGTAGACGGATAACTCCAGCAATTAGAGTAACAATGCTTTCATTAGAAATCATCACTCCCTTAGGGTCACCAGTGGTTCCACTAGTATACATGATCGTGCAAATGTCACTTTTCTTCTTGATGGGAAGATCATATTGCTTTCCTTCGCCCTGGAAGAAATATTCGCAGTGGAAAGTTAAAGCATGGTAAACATAGTTACTAGACCACTGGAACGAAATATAGCAAAATAAAATAGTGAACGATAGCAAATGATAGTTTCATACCAGCTTCAAAAATTCATCCCACGCATATATAACCAACCAAAAATTTTCAGCTTCTTCTTTTTGTTCAGGTTTGACACCACCAAAGCTCACAACAGCTGCATTTATAATCAAGCACAATTAAACATTAGCAACATATGTTAAAAGCCAAAAGGGCAGAACACAAATATATATGAATTACTCACTCTTCATGTACTTTGTCGAGTTTGGACATGTCTTAAACAGCTGGTAATCAAAAGAACAAAAAGGAAGAGATGAGAAAAAGTTCCACAATTTTTTTTTATAAAAAAAATGGTAACGGTCATCAATACATGAAAGTGATAGATAGAAATTTAACATTGAAGATATATTAATACTGTACCTCAGGGATCTTCTTCTCCTCCACAAAGACGACCGAAACCTCTGAATGGGTAATGATGAATTCCACAGCACCAGCGCCTAGTGTATCATATAAAGGGACACGATAGAGTCCATGTGCATTACATGCCTATATTAAAAGTGCATTGTCAGTCCCCTAACCAAAGTACACAACCAATGATATTATCACGAACCCGCCGAAAAATTACCTCCATGGTTATGATCCATTCAGGAGAATTGGCTCCATAGATACCACATTTTGCTTTCTAAACCCCCACAACATATCAGTAAACACAAAATTACGTCATATATGGAATAATCAATAGGAAAAGATGAAACTGAATAAACAGATATCAGGAACGTAAAGATGGATGTTAACCTCCTTAACTCCACAGCTTCGGAGAGAATTTCCGAGTTTTATATATGACAATGTCGTAGACTTTTTGGTATGTTTGCCAGATATACTTTCCCGGCTGAGAAGAATGAAATAAAAATGAGCAAATCTATAACAACTTTAAACGAAATCACCAAAAATCAAAATCCCAGGAAACAGACAACAATACCTTTCCGTCCACAATTTCACGTCGGCCCAGCATTGGATTATTTGGATATTTCTCAACAGATATGCTGCAAACAAAAGTAGAGTAGAAAAGAGAAGATGTCAATAAATCACTAAAAAAAAAAAAAAAAAAAGGAGATATCAACCAAATGCATGTAGTGTAAATTATTCACGTACCATTCATAAGTTTCAAATTTAACAAGGAAAAACCATTAACCACTAATTCACATTTCTATCGATTAGAGCTCTTTTGAATACGATCCCTATGAGAAGAAGTACAATACTAATACGTAGATCTTACGATCCGAAGAACTTAATAATACAAAAATCAAAGCCAAATAAACAGTAGATGAAGCTAAATCTTTTAATTCTTATTACTTAAAATATTCAAAAAATAAAAAATAAAAACGCAAGTCAGAACAAATTCCACGATCAGTCAACAGTCAAAAAAACATCTCAGCACGATTCGGGAAATGGACTCATGCAAAACAAACTCCGATCGACTAATCGTGAAACAGGAGCGAGAATCTCACCGGAAAACATCCCAACAACTATCCATTCCTTCGATCGGCTCGGGGAATCCGTCCTTGGCGAAGATACTGCGGTACACAGGCCCGACTGATGGTCTTCCATCGCTTCCTTCTTTCCCTTCTTCAACCTCGAAGATGTATTTCTTTTGCTGCGACGTGGACAGGTCCCTCCGTATGTAGTTCATTCCATCAACCACTGCCGAGAAGAAGAGCATCCCTTTGAGCTTCTCTCCATTCTTCAGACGAGTCTTCAAAGGTTCGGTTGAAGCCGAACTGGTTTGTCGGATGCGTGGCAAAGAGTAACAACGGGAGGACACGTTGGAAGTGAGTTTGGTTCCACCGAAAAGGGAGGGCAGGTTGGAAGCGAGTTTGAATCCACCGAAGAGTGAGGAAGGAGAACGAGACATTCTTTCGTTTTTGCACAAAGTTTTTGGGTTTAGAAAACGATATTATGTATGCTTTAGTACTGTGAAAAGTTTCATATATATGACTTGTGTTACCTTATATTTATATACTCCGTGAAATATTTAGCGCGTGACACACACAGCTCATTTATTCTCTCTCTTAAATTGTGGCTGAAATTTTTGACGTTAGAATTATTTATTTTTTAAATAAATTAAATTTTACGTACAAAACAAATAATGATTAAGAAAAAAAAGCAATGCAGAACGGTAAAAATTAATATCTGATATAGTAGATATAGTATAGGCCTATAGAAACAAACAGGAAGCTAAATTGGACCACTGCCTAGTATAGGAGCTGCTTTGAAAGCAAGGAGGACTAAAGACCCTTCATCGTTATCCTGGAGGACCACTTTACCTTTGCTTCGCTGATTTTCTTTTGATTTATCTAGGTTACAACTTGTTGTGTTCCTCGTTTAGTTTTCCAAAAAATGTCAAAAAATTGCTTGTCATCGGTGCACAAAGTCAAACTAAAATTAAACGATTTCTTTATGAATAATACTCCCTCTGTTCAGAATTATTTGATGTTTAAGGTTTTTGCACACAGTTTAAAGATTTATTTAATTTTTATTTTTCCTATACTAAAAATATTATTTATAATTCATTTAAATATCATTCAGCCAATAAGAAAACAATCTGCAGAATATAAAATGTC